AAACGGAAAGATAAAAGTAAAGGTTGGAGTGTTCGCCCGTTCTACACGGGGCCACGAACTTCCTCGAGCTATTCGGAACGGCAGTTGATTTCCCATCGGATACGGTTTTCGCCGTTGCATTGTCCTCTCCCGCGTTCACATGCGATCTCGCAATTGAAAGTACTTGTTGCGTGAACTTTGTGTTTCCTTTCTTCGAATAAAAGGGAATTCGAAGCGCGCGTTCCATCTCTTCCGCGCGTTGTTCCCCGATTGTTTATCGGAAAGTTCACCTCCGCCTCTTATCAATTTCGGGATCCGAGGATTTGCAAATTAGCGTCTCTAATTGCTTCCGCATTCCACACGGTGCAATTAGTTAGTGTACACCGCACGAAACGCGGATAATAAGATGATAATGGTCGTCGCGTTGCCGATCAGCGCGAAATTGATCGTTCGCCGCGAGACAATGCCGTTAGTCGTGAACCTCTAGCTGCTCGATGGACAATGTTCCTCCATTGACCGTCGCGTTAGTTGTAATTCCGACGAGCGAGCGCGTCTTTCATCGCACAGGCCATTTGCTGCGGCGGAAGTATGCATGGTCAGTTGATACGTATGCACGCGAGCGCATAAATCGGCCTCGAAGTACGTCGGTATGTACTCCGATTGCTTATTCGAGGCGTGGATGCCAACTATACCCTGATTATGCAAATATTCGGCGGTAATAACATTAACAATGCCGGCGACTTCATGCACGCATGAATCCTCCTGCCTCTGCTAAAGCTGCGATTGTTGGAAGGCAATCGTGGATATTCCCGCGTTGAACGGCTCCCGATTATTCCTTACAGAACCCGCGTCGATTAACGCGTAAAGCACAATTTAGCTCGCGGTAATTGAAACGGTTTATTCGCCATTGTCGAAAGTGGGGCACGAAGGAAATGTAAAACGACGAAGACGAAGGCAACCGCGCTCGGCGAAGTGATTTTTCTAGCCGATCTCCGATTATGTTCTTCTTGCTTTCTACACGGAAACGGGAACAATCGATAGGGAGGAGAACTCAATTAATTTTTACCGTTCCGGGCAACCATAAACGGCGAGGATCATCGGCGCGCCAATTGAAACACATAAATTCCCCCCCAGCTCGACGAAGAAAAGTATTTGCCGTATTAAATTCGAGGAGAGCCTCCGCGGGGAGGGGAGTCAGCATTTATCACGGGAAGTTTTCTCTCCGTTTTCTCCGATATTCCGTCGCGCGACTTTCAATACAGATTCGACTTTCCTTTGACTTTTTCTATCGGCGGTATCTGCTGCGCAATTTGGCGCCGCAGAAAGCCTGATTTATTTCCCGGCATCGCGGAGTGTCTAAAGTAAATGGATCCCAGGAACGTAGCAACAGGCACTGGGACTAGCCGGCCACAGTTTCAACGGAGGAAAACAGAAGCAGGGGGAAATCTGAGTCAGACGTCGATTCACGAGCGATCGGCTCAGATATTTTTGCAGTGACGCGGCTTTGTCCGCTAATTGGACATTCTCTAATTGGCCGTAACCATCGTGTCAGGCGTTGATCACTGTCGCGTGCTCTCGGCGATACGCAATAGCCTAAGCCGAGTTTCCGAACTGCAAACCGTTATTGCGAAAAAGAAACGAGAAAGCAGAAATAGACAAACGAAACACGCAGAACAGCAACTGCACTTCGTCCTCAGTAGATAAATGGTACAATATTCGATCGATAAACGTGTGTTGTAAATATGTTGTAAATAAACTGAGTTTAATCGTTCCTCCATCGTTCAATTCATTAACCCCTTGCCCTATGATTTCTTTCTGAACTGCGATCGCTCTAAATACTTTGTTACTAACAATTTATTGAAAATAAGAGAAGATTTCGGTCTCTACAGCAACTTGTGTTCTAAGAAATAATCATTGATAACAGAAAAATAATATGTGGCTAGCATTCGAACAAAATGAATAATATTTATGTTTGTTAAATTCTATTTGAAACCTTCACGAGTCTGAAAGTTGCTTCCGGGACAGAATGGGTTAACAAAAAGATAGGGACATTTACTTTACGAATATAACTTCCTAGCGCGACAGACACGAGATACCGGCGTATAGAATTGCACTTGCCAGAACTACGATTTTACTAGCACGTGGCTCAGCTGGTAGCTGGCCTGTGTTGACCGGGAGTTGTCATGACAACTACAACGATCACCGCACGACAAGGACGACAACTTCGTCGGCGTTTCGTGGTAAACGTGTAATGTACCCGGTGCATTTGCGACACGAGGAATTAAATTACGATCGTGCCAGGAAAAATGGTAGTGATTGATAAACGTAGTTCGCTGATACTGTCCACCGCGGGTCATTTCTTCGGCGTCCCTCTGACGGACGATGAGGCCATCGTCGACGGTGGATCGGTGCTTGACAATTTCTTGGACCGGCCAACGTGTCGAACGTTGTGCGCGCAACCGACCGACAGCAAAGGCAACGAAGCGCGATTGAAATTGAGCAACGAGCTGTCCGTTGGAAGAAACACTTTGGTCTTCTTCAAGGTAACAGGAGGATCCGAATCGGCGGTATTTTGGTTAAATCGAACGGATGTCGCTGGATGTTGTAACCATGTGACCAACAAGTGTCCCTCTCGTAGCTCGGTTTACTAAAATAAAGATCGAAATTTATTCCTAGAAACGTTCCATTAAGGATTATTATTAAATTCACGATGAAAGAGAAGTTTTATCGACGCTTTATTTCATCCTGGGCGCGCTCGCGTGTACTATGATTCACGCTCACTGACACGCATCGTTCAGTAATGATTAATTAATATACGACTCATTATTCTATCACGCGAAGAATATTGCATGTGTAAATAACAAGCTCACAACCGAAAGTGTAAATTACATTAAAATGCAGAGTAGCCGTTAATCGATATTGTTAATGAGTAATTAGTGGACTGTGGATTTTATGTCATAACACCGTGCACGGATTTACGAAACATAATAAAATGACCATTTTAATCAGGACCGTTGCAGAATTAATTTTTATTCCTGAACTAATGAAACCTCTAATGAATACGAAGTTGTTTTCAAAAGCGAACTATAAAATCTTGTTATTTACTTTATCGAACATGATTTTCATCAGAATACTCTAGTAATCGATAAGATACCACTTCTTACCATGAAATCTCGCTTTACTCGCACCTATTAAATTGGCTTGGGTCACCTTTGAATTTACTGATTCAATTAACTTTACCAACTGATTTCGATGCATCAATTCAACTCCTTTGAATTGCTAGTTGACAGAAGCCCCGGTCACAGAGAAGAATTTCCACGATCTCGTCCACGTGACGTCCACTGGCAGCGAGAAAGGATCGACGCTGATCGAGGCTCTGCGTCAAGTATGGGGGCCGACGCTGCGTTCTTCCGGTCTAAGTCCGTCGTATTTGAAGAAGCTGGAGGAGAGCCTTCTTGGTTCGCCGGTTACAACTTCCGTCCTCGAGGAGGAGGATTACTGGCGGAAGAGATGGGAGGACGCGAAACGTTCGCACGACAAAACGATTTACGCCGAAGCTGTAAAATCCCTGAAGAGCATAAGAGCCGAGCTGGAGAGCGCGGCGGTGGCTAGGTGCCGTAAAAATGATATAAACTCCCCAATAAAATTCCCTCAGATTCCGATTGCATTAGCTCGCCCGATTCATGAAAGTATACGACGACGTTTCGCCCTCGGGTATTAACAGTCCCAGCTTCCTGTAACTCTGGGACGCCCGACATTGGCCCTAGAGGATCTCAATTTACGAAATTGCTGTACAATTTCTCGAATATTGTACACTATCGATCGTCTAAGAAGTCTTTCGAAGTATACTTTAAACGAATTCATACAACAGTCGTTCGTCGAATGAAATTTTACTATACTTCTCAATTAGAAACGCACTAATGGCTGCAGAGGATGCGGTGGAGGCTGTGTCCGGTTACGTGGACGATTTATGGAAACTGGGGGACCCAGTGTACTCGGAGAATCGGATGAAGTCTTTTTTGGACATCATCGGAGACGAAGTGGTGTCACTGGTTCGAAACGTTGTGGACGAGGTGACGATTTTTCGAAGTAAAGGGTACTCGTATCGATTGACTGTTTCTAATCTGTTTCTCGGAGGCAGATTCGTTCTTCCGACGATCGGGTGAAGATCGAAACGATCTCGACCGGTGCTGGTGTCTGCGAGAAGTGGAGCAACATGGCTGAGAAGTTCACGACGCTCTTCTGGCCCCATCATTCCCTTCATCCGTGGAAGGGCCCGAGTCATGTTCCCGAGAGATGCGCGGGAATTGGCATACGACTCAGGTATCCGCGTTCGATTCATCCTCTTCCTGGTTCGAGACGAAAGACAAAGCGATCTTCGTGATGTTTAGGCAGATTGCCGAGTTACGTGCGCAGTATCGGCAATTAACCAGGCTGCTGACTTCGAACGAGAGGTCGGGACTTGGCACGGACACCTTAATGCAATGCTTCGACGATGTTAAAGGTAACTTTCTCCCTTTCTCGCCAAGCCCACGAAATACTAAGATCATTTATCATAGACGGTACTTAAGGATGCTGGAGTAGATGATCGTACTACTAGCATAACAAAATACTTCTTTATAAATAGTAATTTATTCTTCGTGATTCATGTCAGTCGTCTTCGATGACGATGAAAATAGTACCGATTGGAACAGACTTAGAAGAAAGGTCGAAGAAGGCTTGGTGCCTGCCGAAGAACGCGTCGCTCAGAAGCTGAAGTCCCAAATCGCTGATGCTACCACTCCGAACTTCCTACTGGCTGAATTTCGACGTTACTTCGAGTTGATGAAGAGAGACGGCTTGAAGAGGGCCTTACGCGGTGAACGCGAAACATTGCTTTCTGCGTACGGAGACCTTATCGGTAATTTTCACACATTTAACTACAGAACGCAGGGAGCCATTGCTAAACAGAAAGAAGAATATGGCACCGGAACACTAATGATTAATGAATTTCGAAACAGACAGTTGTTTGGCTGGGCCAGATACGGGAACTCTCTTAGACAGTCCCAAAATACTGCAGGAAGTGCAAGCAGCTAGAACAGCGGAGATGAGGCTGGAAAGCTTAGACAAATTAGGAAAAGAGCTGCTGGCTGATCTTCCCGGCTACGAGGAGGTCTCGTCGAAGGTGACAATGGCTCTGAAGGACGTAGAGAAGAAACGTCAGAATTATCTCGAAGCTTGGGTGAGGTTTTCTTATCTCTTTAAAATCCCTGGCCAATTTCACACTCGTGGACGTTTAACAGACGGAGGAAACAAAGGATGCTGTAGCGAAGAAGGAACTGTCTTTAGGCACCGATTCCGCTGTGGTGGAGCTGACAGGTACCAGCATGATGCGAGTGACGTACGATCCAAGATTAATGACTCTGATCAGGGAAGCTAGAGCGCTGTCGGGTCAAGGAGTCGAACTTCCTCGTGAAGTGAAGGACTTGGTTGAAAGGGCGGGGAGTTTGGCAGGACGTGCGAGGGCTCTTCAACAAGTCGCGACATTTCACAACACCATTGGAGACCGTATGGTGCCGTCTCAGAGGCCGCTGATGCTCACGACTGCTTTGGAACTGGCTCGTGCCGTCCAGGAACAGTCTGGCGTCGTTTGGTCCGATCCTCTGGCAGTGGACGCTTACACGGCCAGATTAAAAGAATTGGTAATAAATAATACATTGTCCACACATTAACACGTTGAACGCCATGGAGGTCACCGGTGACCTCCAACTAAATCGAATTACTGTAGTCCATTCAATCGAACAGCGATTATCTGAAAACGTTTGTATATTACGCACAATGCTACCTAATGCGGCGACGTTGAGCAAGATGAGCGCGTATAACGCGATTCAATCAAATGGGTTAATATCTCTACCATTTTGTATATTTTGCTCGATGAAATCGTGCGCGTTCAACGCGTTAATCTCAATCCACATTTTTCGTTGACAGCTCTATTAAACTCATGCTCGATTAATTTTTGTTCGCCTCGCGAGAGAGTTAACTCTGCGAAAAATCCATACAGAATTTATTCGGAACAGGTGAGAAAATTCGCACAACAGAACTCCGATCTGGCGGCAAAGCACTGTGCACTGCGGGATTTGGTGTCGAATTTACTGAGAGGCGAAACGGTCAATCTGATCGGGAATCAGAATGCTTGGAAAGACGCGTTGATGAATATGAGGACGATCGTCGATACCGTGGAGGCGGAATACGGGAACACGAGAGCTTGGAAGCTTCATTGGGACAGGCAGCTGCTGAAAGCGCTGGCTGTAGCTTACAGGTAACGCAACACCGTTCGTTTGTAACCGAAAGAGTCCAAATTCAATCAGAGAATCGAGACATCGAGAAAGATTAAAAGCCAATTAAAAAGGCAACCTTGAATAAAACCGCTAAATCGAATGAACTTCATAGTAACGACAGAAAGAGTACGCGGAAGTCTGAATTTTCCATTAGTAAAACTTCCGAGGAGAGTCTGATGAAAAGAACGTTCGAACGGGAACCTATTTATGAAAAAACTTTTCAATTTCCCTCGGTGTTATCCATTTCAAAGAGGAACAATGGGACCGGGCTGAAGCTTTAACGAATGCCGAGCGTTCCCTAAAGTATTTCTCGATTGTAATGCATAATTTTCATATTCATGGACGACCTGCATAAAGTGGGCGAACGGGAAGTTCACGTTCCCCGTTTTTCAGAGGCGCGCTGCCGTCCCTGTTGAAGAAGCTGCCGGACATTAAAGCGGAACTGACGTTCCGCGACGGATCCTTGCAGTGGCGGCCGTCGCTCGAGGAGCTACGCGCGAAACTGTACTCGTCTATACGCCGATCCCTCTCGATACCGATGAATTTCAGGGGGGTAGGGGACGCGGCAGATGCCCACTTCGGCGACTTGATTCAAAGAAGCGCCTATCTGTTCGGCGGCGTCTATAAGCAGGCCGAAATTGCTCTTTCCGCTCTGGAAACGCTCAGGATGAAATGGCTGTATCTGGCGGCACCGGCGAAAATCGACGCCGCTGAACGGTACTGACTCGAAAATCGCTTCGAGAAAGCTGATTTTATTTATTAGACTAAGAGCTTTAGATGGTGGCAATAGTCTCGGTTTGTATATTTTTCATCGAATTGAAATTAATGAGATATTTGGGTAAATTTCTGTTAACCTTCGGTGAACGCTGAATCGATACGTTGAACGCCGCACGATTTCATCGAACAAAATATAATGTTAAATATTATGCAATGGAAAAAATATAATGTTAAATATTATGATTATTACACATTCATCTAGCTGAATGCCACCGTATTAGGTAGCATTATTTATAACATAGAAATGTTTTCAAATAATCACCGTTTCATTGAGTGAACTATAGTAATTCGATTTGGTTGTGGGTCACCGGTGACCCCACGGCACTCAACGTATTAAACGTTCAGCGATGAGATTGAATGATTTTCTTACGTGTTTCATTTGTTTCGACGGGAAGCTTGAAAGGACGATCGCCGCAGGAATGGACGAGAGCATTCAAAGACGCCAAACAATGGGCGCAGGAGGTCAGCGAGTAATTAAATTCTTCGTGAATTTCCAACTGCGTCAGTCAACGCAGCGATATTCGCGTGAAATGAACTATTAGATTGTCTTCGAAGCTTCTGGAGATAAACTTCAAGCTTGGCTGACAATTTAGTATATCGATTTCTATCAATGATCGCTGCTTTTCCTGCGTGTAACCTTTGGCTGTAAATCAGGTGGGAAAACTGCGCGGAAACGAGGTGAAAATCTGGTGCATCAGCGTGGACACGGCAACGACCAGGAACGATTTGGAGTCAGCGTCCCGTCGTTATTGGGAACGTTTGTGCTCCGATTTAAGGGTGGAGGCTTCTTCGAGGCTGGTGGCGATCGTGGAGTTCCTTTCTTCAGCCTCGAAGGAACTGGAACGCAGACCCCGAAGCGTGGAGGAAGTTGGATTAGCGTATGAAGCTCATGCACGTATCGAAGCTCAATCATCCGGCATGGCGGAAGAAATGGAAGCTGTTGCTGGCTTATCGAAAGTACTGGCCGCGTGGACGAGCGAGAAACTTGAGGGTAATTCAAATTCGTCAAGTTTTGCGAAATAATTTCGTCTAACTATTTGAAACGTGTGAAAACAGGCGTCAGTGCGGCGCACACATCCTGGCAAGATCTCGCCGATCGTTTGGAGCGTCACAAGGCGGTCGTGGCTAGAGAATTAGAGGACGCGAAAGTGAATCTTCGCCATCGAGGAGTGGCTCTGCGAGACGAGATAGAACGATGGCAAACGAAATGGTCCTCGAAGCCAGGAATTCTCAACCTGGATTGGATAATCTCGATGAGGGAAAGATGGACGAACCTGAAGGAGCAATTGGACGTATTGAAGACCGATTGCCGAAGAGTCGAGTTGAGCATCGACGAGCTCCTAGACGAGAATGACGAGACCGTAAAGACGCTGGAGATGCAGCTGGAGGTGGAAGAGTCGAACTGTCGATTCCAAGCGGAATTTATGGAGGAGCTGAAGAACCAAGAGGACGAAGAATGGGCTGTGGCAAGAAGGAGACTGCCTAGGCTTCACGATTGGCTGGACTCTTGGGAAAACAGGATACGGGTTCAGCTGAAGGATCAATTGAAAGACGACACGCCGGAGCAAAGGGATAACCTGGAGATGAACACTTTCGTCGGTAGGAAAGTTCGCGAAATTCGAGCTGGCATCGAGTGGCTTCAGCTTCTACGCGGGGATGAAATAGCTGAAGAACACTGGGGTGAACTAAGATCCGTTTTAAATTTAACTGACGTCAAGAATGTCAGGGACATCACTTTGGGCCACTTACTGCGATCCGTGGAGAAGATCGAAGAGAATTCTGAGAAGATAAAGGTACCGTCGGGTCTTGTTCGGATCGGTTCACCTGTTTTACCTTCGCGCGACGGAAACTTTGCTACCTAGACGTTCGGGATCGCTAACATTTCCCACTTTCTTACATCCAGTTCTACGGGAAGTATATTACTCTTCGGCAAACACCCCCGAACATCATCATGCTTTCATAGCTAGTTGAGAATGTACGAGATTCTCGGGTTTCCAGCGCGTTTTCGATTTAACTTCATTTCGGAACGAGGTTACAGGATACACTGACCAAGATTATGTCCATGTGTAATTCAGGACATCGCGAAGAGAGCGGCGGCAGAGAGCGGAATCCGCCAGGGGCTGATGGAGTTGGAGTCCTGGGAGGCATCCGCGCATTTTCAGCTCCAGCAATCAAAGGACAGCAAAAACGCCGGCATTCTTCTCGTCGAGGAGTACGGCAGTTTGTTAGCCAGGGCGGGTGAGTCTCGTGTTACAGTTCTAGGAACAGAGTGGCACAATACGCGAGGGTGTCGCCCGCGGATGAAGTAATTAGGCTCATTAAACGAAAGGTGAACTGAGGCTGCTGTTGGAGGGTGCGAAAGGGGCAGCTGGATACGAGAGGTTCGCTGCGAGGGTGGCTCGTTGCGAGGCAGGGCTCTCCGAGGTGGAGGAGAGAATAAAGACTCTAAGCACGGTTCAGAGGAAATGGGTTTACTTGGAGCCGGTCTACGAAGGCGGAGCGGCTCCGAATGATACTGGCAGGTGGTCCAGAGCAGACAAAGAATTCAGGTTGAACTATTTAACTAGCATAAGACACTATGAATAGTTTTCCGAGGATCTTTACGGTGACTCGGAGATGTATATTTAGGTACCTCATAGGGGAAGTGTCGCGCGATTCAAGGATATCATCCCTGAGAAGGCTTCCGCTTTCAACATTCACGAACCTAAAGGATCTATTGGACAGGTGTCAAAGAAGCCTCGACGAATATTTAGAGGTTTGTATAGAGTATCTAAGTTACGAAGATAATAGATGGAAATAAATGTGCAAATCTTCGGAACGCGGTTCCTCGAATCAGGTATTAGAGTCTTTATTCCGGCGTTCCTCGCGTTTTTAGGAGAAACGTTCATCCTATCCTCGGCTCTATTTCCTGAGCGACGAAGATCTCCTCGAATTAGTGTCAGCGCACGGTCGGGGTCTGGAAGCTCATCTACCGAAACTGTATCAAGGCATAGGATCGATAATAAAGGGCGATAATGGACTGACGGCCGTTGTATCGCCAGAAGGTGAAATATTGCAGTTACCCGGGCCCGTCGACCTCCGGGAGCCATTACCGCGATGGCTGAGCAATCTCGAAGATGGGATGAAAACCACCCTGCGACACAGTTTAGAAAAATGCCTAGCCGACACCGCGCCCGACCCGTCCGCCTATCCGACTCAAGTAAAATACTTAATCATCCGATAATTCGCGCCGCGATTCGATCCGCTTTTAACGTGCACCCGCTTCGCTAAGGTTCTGCTGTTGGCGGAGAGGATTCGATTCACGGAGCGCTGCGAGATTGCTTTAAAGGAAGGTCGATCCTCTTTGAAGAATCTCGTCGACTACTTGGAGACGCAAAGGGCGAGGTACAGAGGTTTGGAGGACGCCGGCGATAAACTGACTGCGCTGAAAGCTCGCGGGCTTCTTCTGGACACCGTGCACCACCTGGAAATAGCCAGGAATCTGTTGAACGTCACTGTCCAGGGGGAGAGTACCGTTTGGACTTGGCACAGGCAATTAAGAAGCTACAGATCTGTAAGATCCCCTGTGATCCGCTTCGCAGACCTTAGAATTATATGCAAGGATGTTTTACAGAGTAAGGGGCCAATCGTCCGCTGCGCCGGAGCAGAATTCCCGTATCGCTTCGAATATCAAGGCGCTTCTGTCGGTTTGGTACAAACGCCGTTGACAGAGAGGTGTTTCCTGGCTTTGGCACAAGCGATGAAGCTCGGCCTGGGTGGCAGCCCGAGCGGGCCAGCTGGAACCGGGAAAACCGAGAGCGTGAAAGCACTCGGTGCTATTCTAGGCAGGCTCGTTTTAGTTTTCAATTGCGACGAAGGTAATAATACGACGGTTATAATCCCGAAATCGATTTCTACGCCACCCACCTCTGTTTGCTCGAGCCTGCAACTCGTTATTTCGATGACCGTGCTCCTTCCGGGTGGCCACGTGAATTTCGACTGGCATTTATGCCGTATCAATAAAATGGAACATACTTTGACCATTGGCAATCTTGAACGTTACGCGTTTTATTGGTGTTTATTCGATGAATATCATTAGGAATGGATACTGGCAGCATGCGACGAATCCTGGGTGGTCTGGCGCAAGCCGGTGCGTGGGGCTGTTTCGACGAGTTCAACCGTCTCGAGGAGGAGACTCTCAGCGCGGTCGCCATGTTGGTTCGACCTCTGCAGGAGGCAGTTCGCGACGGTGCGACGGAAGTTGTATTGGCTGATCAGAAAGTGAAGCTCGATCCCCATTGCTGCGTGTTCATCACGATGAATCCAGCCGGGATAGAGTACGGCGGGCGTAGAAAGCTTCCGGATTCTCTGGCGCGACTCTTCAGACCTATCGGAATGGCGCATCCCGACAGGTCGGACATCGTGAGGGCTTTGCTGGAATGCGCCGGATTCTTAGACGCCTCGACGCTCGCGAAACAGCTCGTCGAAACGCTCGACATTGCGGAGATACTGCTGTCGAATCAGCCGCACTACGATTGGGGTCTCAGAGCTCTCAGATCCGTGCTGGACGCCATTCCGATGAATACTGAATTGGACGAGACCAGCAGGTCGATTTGTTTCTTTAATCCCGAAGTACTCTTGCTTTTCAACTTAGAAACTTGCGTCGATGGTATTCGAATGAATCGTATTTTGATATCGCGCTCTAATCATTTATTTGAGAAAATATGATAGATTCGGGAAACATAAAAATTATGGTTACGTACGATCTAATGAATGTTACGGATAAGCGTAGTAGAAATTGGCGAACCTGACGACTGGAATGGAATTGTTAAAAGGGTTAACGTTTGAAATATTCTTTGACGATGTTCCGCAGACTAGTAGCAGCGATCCGTGCTTCAACGTTACCGAAGCTGACACAGGAAGACACACCGAAGTTTCTGTCGCTATTAGAAGACGTTTTCCCGAACGTGAATCCTTCTTTGTCCACGTTCATCGACAGGCGAGATTTACAGACCGTTTTACAGCAGCTTTGCGCGGACCAAGAGCTGAGCAACGAAATAGCTAACAGATGCATTCAACTGAACGACCAGCTGAAAAGCAGAACGGGTGTCGCGATCGTTGGACCGGCGGGAAGTGGTAAAACAACCATCAGGAAACTTCTGTGTGACGCTTTAACGAAAATCGGTGAAACGGTCGTTGAATTTCACATGTATCCTGGCGCGATGCCTAAATCGAGACTTCTGGGTCGCGTGGATCCTCAAACTAGGTATCGTAACTCTTTATATTGGCTATGATATCGATTTAATCGATGGGAATTTAAACGAATACTATACATTCTATGGAAATCCATTTAAAAGTCATTGTATTCCATTCCCTATTGGATTAAAGCATTTTAATTGAAACAATTATTATGTACTCTTTGTAAATTCATTTCGAAGTAACTGTATTCCGTTTTCTAGCTTGGACTAAAGCTTTCGTTTCAGTAGATCCTTTATGATTCACCGATGTCTTTTAGTTATGTTCGAATAAACTATTCAATAGGGAGTGGAAAGAGGGTCTGTTATCAAGCGTCGTCGCGTCGGCCGGAGAATCAACGACCTGGATCATTCTTGATGGCGACGTTGAACCCGATTGGGCTGAAGCTCTAAACTCTGCCCTAGACGACAATAGATTACTGACTTTACCCAATGGCGTGGGAGTAAAGCTCGGCCCTGGAACGAAGTAAGCTCACAATATTTCCACTCGATTCGCTTGTGATTTTTGTAGATGAAAAATAAGATAAAAACACGACACTGGGAGTATTAATGAAGTCTATCCAATGAAACTGAACAATCTCCGCTATGTTGTCTGTAAGATACTACTTTTTCTAATACGTTCGTCTTCGTTTCCACACGAACAGATTTATTTTTGAGACACACAAACTAGCTGGAGCGAGTCCAGCCACCGTTTCGCGATTAGGAGTCGTTCATTTGGGTTCCACGATTCCCACGAGCTTACTAGTGCCGTCGAAGCTGGCAGAACTCACAGAAGCAGCGAAGGAGGTCGCGAATTCTCATCTGTGTCCCTGCATCGAGGAATGTTTGAGAATCAATCAAGATATTTCCTCCGCTTCCGGTCTAATGGACTCCGTGCTTTGCCATTTGAAGGGTGCCAGCACGCACACTTCCGCTGCCTACGCCCTGCTCGCTTCATTGTGTAATCAAATAGAGGATGAAAGGCTTAGAAACGATTTCGCTCGTTTGATTTATCAATTTACCGATTGCTGGTACGAATCCCGACACTTTTATTCATATGACAATCGTATCTCTATCACGAGTTCGATTACTGTGCTCGTCGTCCTCCATTATCTGAATACAACGTAGAGTATCTTCAATCGCTTTGTTACTGTCCAAAATCGTAGGTGTCCGGATCCGCAGAAACCGAGTTCCGTGTTGTACGATGAAGACACTGATCGATTAGAGGCTGTCCAGGATACTAATCAATCAGTTGATACAGAGGACGGTCCTATTCTATTGACAGGTATTACGCTTCGCCTGTAAATTCGTAACTCGCAGTTGAAATAGACGAAATTAATGGAATATAATAAATCAGTAAGATCTTGGCGATTCGTCGATCCTTCTCGTGAACGTCCGTTCTTTACAGGCGCTATGAAGGGGGCTTTAGCGAGCGTCCTGCCTTGGATTCGGAACAACCAGCCGATAATGATAAGGGGCCCAGAGGGTTGCGGCAAAAGCGCCCTAATATCCGTGATTCTTTCAACGATCAGGAGCAACGAGCCTTCGACTCTGATAAAGGGATCATCCCTTTACGGCGCTCAGGATTTGGTGGCGAAACTAAAGCGGGGCTGCGTGCAATTGAACTCGTCATCTCATGGGAGAACGTACAAGCCGCGAAGTGGATCGAGGGTTGTGCTGATTCTCGAAGATTTGCACCTTGCTTCGAAGAGTCTACAGGTAACCATGAGTTTGTTGGTGAAATGAACTTTTCATTGTGGTAGAATGTCTCGTGTACATCATTTAGGAGCTCGTACGAGAGTTGCTGCAAGAAGGAGGATATCACGAGGAAGATTTGGAGTTCGCTAGAGTCCCTTTAACCGTTATATGCACAGCAGATGCAACGACTAAACTGCATCCGAGATTAGAGGCCCTTTTGTCTGTTCATTATCTACCGTTAGTGCACTCTTTTCTAAAGGATCTTTAATGAAATGTTATCGTTACGTCTGATAACGTGTATGATATCAAAGGCATCCAGGTTCGAAGGAAATTGCTGAAATTTTGGAACTGCACCTGAACAGTTCCTTAAAAGGGGATCGCATGCTGATCGGATCTTGGATCACACAGCTCGCGCCCACCATCCTGGAAGCTTTCAGGCTAATGGAAACCAGTCAAGGCTTGCCTATCAAATGGACCCCGAAAGATCTAATTCAGTGGGCTGACAGTTTGAAGTGCTATCCTGTGCCAGAAAATGAAACAGATATCACCAGCTGTTTGTTCGACTCTGGACGACGTCTCTTCCATCCTAGGTGACATCTAGATTTGATTGTTTAAAACGTAAAAGTAATCATCAACATAATACGACATAAACTATTTTAACACACGCTAATAATCTCTATTATACCCTGAATCTCTAGACATTTATCAACCCTCTAATGATTTTTTATTCAAATAAAGATCGACAGTGAAAGAAGTGTTGAACTGCTTAGGGGATAGAGTTAGTAGAATCGTACGGTGTAGCACGCAACGCGTTCCTGTTACCGTGGCGGTTTTAATTCCACTAGATTGACGTTGAGAGATCAGTCACGCTGGGAGTCGATAGTTCTGTCGAAAGTCGCCGGGCCCGGAACCTCTGCCAACGACGTGTACATATGGAAACGCGGTAACACGGGCTTATCTGCGCTGGACGAGGAACAGTGGAGGAAGGAGATAATTAACGCGGCGGCGAGATGCAGCAGAGAAGGCGATCCGGTGCAAGCGTCGATCTCGTTTCACCTGTTGCGCACAGTGGCCGGTGAGCGCATTTAATTAACTTAAGTTTACGATATTTTGCAAACAAGGTTAATCCGGGGATCATTCAAGTCCTGTATGACCACCGAGTAATCTTTAACAAGTTTACCGCAGGTTCAATGATTAACATTCTCGCCGGTGGCTCGTCTACAAAGCGCCGCGAGTTCCTCAAACTTCGAACCTAAAATACCTTCGTCCCTCTTAATCACAAGGGAAACTTTCCAAGCATAGAAATATTCGTTTTAAAGGAGTAAATACAGAGGAGTCTTTTCAAAGTTTGAAATTAGAAATTCCAAGGTGTGACTGGTGCGTGTTTTCTCAAAGGATTAAGCTGGGCTTTCGGGACAACCTTGAGAGGCGTGATTCTGATTGGACGACCTGGAGCTGGACGGAAGTCAGCCGTCCGACTCGCTGCCACTTTTTCATCCCTTCGTCTGGTGGACTCAGGACCTGGTATAGCTTCAATGATAAAGATATCACCAATGATTAATTCGAATCTGAAATCGTCGTGAACGTGAACCATTAAGGATTAACAAGTTGGATTCTGCAGGACGCGGACGGACATCGATAAAAGCGGCGGTTCAAGCAGCTGGAATCGACGGGGAGCCGACTCTGCTTTTACTCGAAGAGCATAACATGAGAGAAAATGGATTGGCCATTTTGGCGAGCGCAATAGTGTCGCGCGGAGAACTTCCAGGATTATTTACAGCGGAAGAACTGGACGGTTTAATAGCGCCTCTGGCTGACGTAGCGAGAAGAGAAGATTTCTCGGGCAGTTTGGAACAGTACCTCTACCACCGTAAGTAGACATTCTCGAACTTACAGTCGCAGGTAAAGCAAGCATTGTCGTAAAACAATTCTAATAAAAACCGTACAACGATGGCCGCGGAGAAATAAAACTTAACAGCGTTCTAATATCAAAGATACGGAAGAAGAGTGAAACTTTTAGGATTGAGGAGTTACCTGCGAGTCGCGATGATTCTGGACAACGGAGAAATCAAGTCTCCCTGGCTCACGCGTTCCGGCCTGTTGAAGCACTGCGGTTTAATCGGGCCAGGTCTCGGTTGCGAATGGTGGTCCAGCGAGGGCACGCTGACCGAACTGGCTCGCCAGCAAGATGGCGCCGAGGCGGAGGCCTCCGGGGAAACTTTGCCAGGTATAAAGGTGATGGTAAGGGCTCACCTCGAAGCTCCGAGACAGCAACAAGCGCCGGCTCGATTTTTCGCTCTATTGCACACCTGGAAACACCTGCACGTGACTTGGAGCGAAGATGTGGAACGGAAGCTGAGCAGTTTGGAAGCCGGGATAGGAAAGCTGAAGGAAGCAGGGGGGCAGGTGGCTAAATTGGAGGATGAAGTCTCGAAGCAACGCCGGGAACTGGAGGTACTTTTTAATACCGCCGATGCTGGTCGATCCCCGCGACGCGATTCGAGTTGAAACTTTTGTAATTACTTTTAGCAACCGCTTCCGTACTTTGTTACATTGTTATAATGCGATTAAATGTCTATCCAGCGGCATAAGTGATCCCTACTGACCACTGATCACTGCTGACCAGTAAATGGCTATTAATCTAGCTACTGGTATATATTCACGAATGAGTCTGTCTAAACGCAAAATAAAAAAAGGAAAAGTTGTACAACTGCTGATACATTGTTTTCTTATCTATATGTGATGATTTATGTACATAAGGCATAAACATAAACATAAACATTCAACGCACTTGTTTCATCGATGCAATCTTGATAAAATAAATAAAAGTCAATAAGCGACGACAGCCGTAGTTGAAGGGTTGAGTGCAATTTATCTCAATACAAACCAGTTAGATTTACTATGGTCGAAATTCCCGCTATCATTTATTTGAATGCCATCAACTGTTTTATATTACTTGTAATCTTCCAGACAGAACAGGGTCGAGCGAACGCAGCTCTCGAACAGATTTCAGCCACCATGAGGGGTGCAACGGGGCAAAGAGGAGAGATGGCGAACTTGAAAGCTGAAACCGAACGGGAAAGTGCAGAGTTAGCCCGTCGAAAGGTTATTAGCCATAAACTTCTTTCATCGTCTCTGAAACGTCTCTGTAGAAAGAGAGTGTAACGGCAAAAACGATGGGTTAAGAAAGGTTTTGAGAAGCACTGGCAAGGTAGAGACGATTTCTTTGTACAGGCAGACATCGAGGGAGATCTCGGGAAGGTGGAGCCGTTAGTTGAACAAGCGGCTCAAGCAGTAGCTGGCATCAGCGCTGACGCGTTAGCAGAAGTCCGCTCCCTAAGAGCACCGCCGGCGCCCGTTAGAGACGTTCTCGAGGGTGTCCTTCGATTAATGGGCATCAAAGACACTTCGTGGAACAGCATGAAAACTTTCCTGGCGAAGCGCGGGATCAAGGACGAAATTAGGTAGCCGGTGTTCTTCTTCAATCGACGTATTTATGAAAACTGCGCAATCGATTGATTGCCGGTCGATTTCTTTATAAATACCTTCGATCGATCCAGAACGTGGGACGCGAGGAGAAGCACAACAGCGAGTCTGGAGGCAGTTGCCAAGTTGGTCAAGGAGCGGCCGGAGAGTTTCGAGGAGAAAACCGCGAAAAGAGCCTCGCAGGCTGCCGCCCCATTGGCAGCGTGGGTTCTCGCGAATCTTCAATACGGCCAGATCCTTCAGCAAGTCGCGCCGCTCGAGAAGGAACAACGGCTGCTAGCCGAGTAGGTTGGAAATGTACCAGCGCGCCATCCGTTTTCTTCATTCCTCAAAAAATTGGAGTTGCGGATAAACTAACTTATAGTATTTATTAAAATTTCTTCGTGGCCATTGAATAGCTGAACATAGGAATTATAGTCGGTTGATTCAACAGATAGTAGTAGATCTTTTTCAATACTTATATAAAAATCGCTCTTCTTACTAAAGCACGGTGTATGTAACGTTTCAGAAGTCTGTCAGCGGCCGAAGCTCAGATAGGAAAGTTAGCCGCCGGACTGAACAGCGTTGAAAGTCGCGTGGCACAGCTTCAAGAGGAACTCGCAGAGCATTCGAGAGGTGCTGCTGCGTTGCAGCTGAGAGCCGAGGCAACGGAAGGTAGGCTGGCAACTGCGAGAGCATTGCTACAGAAATTGGACACGGAGCATCGTGACTGGCAGGAGCAATTGGAAGAATTGACCGCCAGAAAGCAGAAGTTGGACGTCGAAGCTGCGAATGTGGCCTCCCTGTTGGTTTACGAGGTGCCGATGCTCATTTGAAACTTTAATCACTCGCATATTCAATGATACCTCCTCAGAGTCCCATTCCTAAGTCTATCCCCCGACGATCGTACGAATGTTCCCACCGCCGTTACTGAAAATAAGAAAATCGAACGAAGTCGTTTGAATGGAAATGTCGATTCGTAGAATCCCGGGAGGGACGACAAATGGAAAAAGTCAGCCATCGATTTGCTGATCACCGAGAGGGAGCGACTTCTCTGGCGCGCTCAAGGGTTGCCCGCGGACACCGGAAGTCTCGTGGCAGCGTCCTGCACCCTCAGGGGGCCGCTGGTCCCGATATTCGTGGATCCGTCAGGCGTGGCGGTCTCCTGGCTGAAGAACAACGTCGGGCCCGTTATGGAAATCACGAGGCCGGAGGATGGGAAGTTTCTGACCGCGCTCGAGCTGGCCGTGCGATTCGGGAAACCGTTGCTGGTGGAGGAACTGGTCGAGTTCCCTTCGATTTTGTTGCCGCTGCTGCGCCGCCGTCCCCTGAGGCTCGGTGAACGAACTTTGCCGCCACCGCAGGGCTTCAAACTTTTCTTGGCCACCAGACGGGACAGATTGGACGGTTTTCCGAAGGAAGTTGACGCGGTCTTGTTCAAGATTGCCCTCGGGGCTGGTACTAAGAGCTTGGCGGAGCGATTCGTTGAGAGGGTGAGCACCGTTTTACGAGAAATTGCTGCGTCCACCTAACTATTCAACATCACTGACTGTTAGATGCATACTCGGGAGGAACGATATGAGCCGGTGAACCCAATGGAGCCATAAAAAGTGGTTTCAGTACGACGCTTGACGAAGGGGAAAGACACTTTGTCCAGTGTCGTGAAAAACTATCCCCTCGTAGGCTAGCTTCTTCAGCGCGGAGTGACAAAGGAGGGACCTAATGAGGAAACTTCGCGAGATGTTTAATTACTTTCGAAGCTATAATGATTGGAAGTTACAAGAGCCGACCTCTAACGATATAAAACATAAATCGATCGCGCGGTTTTATACGCTGAAAACGATCCTCTGCTCGCCGACTGAGGACCATTAAGTAAACTTCTGTTTATAGCCCCGTTCGGTTTACCACTTCGTTCTCAGCGGGTTTTAGTATTTTCTACGTTTCTAATGAATGAACTGTACAAGGTAGAATCATTTTCCGCTGAAAGATGAAATTTTCGACTTTCCCGCGAGGAATTTAATAAGTTCTTTCTAAAAGAAATCGGTGATCCTGGGAGTAATTGAAAGACTCGGAGGTAATTCGCGGAGGCCAGAGAAACGCGGTGCGGCGAGCGTAAAATTAATTACCTTGTCGACAGGTTTTGTTAAAGGAAACGCCCGAGTTGGCAACGAAAAGGAAAGAGGCACTGGAACGGGAAGAAAAATTATCCGGCGAACGGGACACAGCGAGATTGGATCTGCTGGCACAGTTGGCCACCGCGAGGGGTCAAGACCTCCTCCAAGAGTCTGAAGGATCTCAGGGTGGACTCTTGTCATCGTTGGAGGCCACTCAGTCGAAAGCAAAAGAAATCGCATTTGCCCTCGAAGAAAGCCGGCGAAGCTTCGAGAATGTGTCCAGGTAGGCGGAAATCTATTAAACCGAGACATATCTTTGAGAAGCTCATTTTTCATCTTTCCCAATTGAAAAGCCCACTAGCCCAGGTCTTTACTGCGAAAACTTTTCACCCGATGTTTTTCCATTTCCTTACTTTGCCTACAGGAGAGCCAAGGATCACGAGAAATTGGCGAAATTCGCAGCGAATTTGTATAAGACCGTGAAAGCTCTCACAGCCTTGAGCCCGCTTTACGTTTTTTCCGCGGAAGCGTTCACAGACATTTACCTGGAAGCGGAGGATTATAGGAATTCGATATTGTCCGAGGATAAGAAGGAACAGGATAAACTGATCGAAAAACGGTGATCAAACTTTTCTTATAGACACTCATGTTCTCTACTGAATCCTCGGATCCTTTAGAATGTACATTTTACCTTCTGACTACATTTTAATAGCATTTAATCCTAAAGATATTAACAACATGATTTTATAAAAAATTAATGCGAGACTTCTCGATATTAATACCGATGGTAACCGTACTGCTTGTCCTCTTTATCGCAGATTAATAAGCTTAACCCTCTACTATTGCGCCAAAGCCGTGTACAGGAAGCATCGATTGCCATTAGCCCTGCAGCTCTCGCTCTCCTTACATTCGGTGCCAGACGCTGAGAGGAATTTCCTGTTGGGCGAAGTGTTATCGAACAACGAAGAGGATTCTGATTACAGAGTGCCTGAATGGGTACCCGAAGAACGACGCCTTTCCGTGCGCGCCCTGGTGTCATCGTTGCCTCAAGTACAATGCGAATTATGCTCATTTACCATGCACTACTTCCTCCTTTGACGCTTCACCTACTTCAAACCTATTAACAGACTCTTCAATGACAATACCACGTCAAACAGGAACTTAATATCGTTTCCTTGGATAGATTAAAATAGCAATAAATTAAATTTCCATTACAGATAGCAGCGAAAATGTCACCAGCTTATTTGAACGACGTCGGCAACATTTACGCGGAAAATAGTTTAACGACATTTCAAAAAATTTTGCTCATCAAGACCTTCCGTCCTGATTACCTTCACACAGCTCTATCGAAGTTGGCTGCCGAAGTGCTAGGTGACTCGCCTTTCTGAAACTCTCAATGTCCCGTCACTTTACATTGAAATTTATCTACTGTATTCTCACTTGTCGATTAGGTGTGAAGGAGTTAGCTCCGCCCCCTTGGTCTCTGAGGAATGTAGCCGAAGAAGTAGCTTCGTATCCGGTATTGCTCCTTCTGTCGCCGGGTGCTGATCCTGGTTCAGAGCTGCAGGCTTTGGCCAGCAATCAAATTGCATCGGCCACAGGATTCACGGAAGTGTCTCTGGGTCAGGGACAAGTCGCTCAAGCTGAGCTTGCGCTGGAAAGTGCTTGCCGGTAATTAGAGCTAGACAGCTCAACTGACACTGTTTTCCTTGATTCTTCATTTATTGACAATTCTCGAACAGAAACGGCAGCTGGATTCTCCTCAGCAACCTCCACCTAGCTTTAAACTGGCTGCCGCGGTTAGAAAGCCTCTTACGATCGCCCATGTGTACCACTAACAAACACCAGGCTACAAGAATCTGGCTAACCACCGAGGAGTGTTTAGGATTCTACCCAAGCCTAGCTGGTCTCTGTTTGAAGCTAGCTTACGAGCCGCCGGAGGGCATAAAAAGGAACGTCAAGAGATCACTTCAGCAGCTCCAGCAGAAGCAACAAGACGATCTGAACATTCCTGGGAGCGTTCTGCTATCTTGGCTGCACGCAACGCTTCAAGAACGACGGAAGTTCGTCCCCGAAGGTTGGATCAGAGCCTACGAATGGAACGAGGCGGACATCGAAGCCGCGTATGAACTGGTGGTGAAGAAGATGGCCACGAAAAAGGACAAGGACAACGATGGAATATGGCAGACCGGTAGAGGATTGCTGGACGTTGCCATTTATGGTGGTAGACTTCAGGATGATTATGACATGCGAGCGTTGCGCTCCATCATCCGCGACATTTGGTCCTCCGAGGTGTACGAAGGGCGGAAGAGGCTGGCTGGAGTGCTTAGGGTGAGCAAGAGCTCCTTCGAAGACGTGGTTAGAGCCCTGGAACAGATTCCCGATAACAACTCGCCCAGAGAATGCTTTGGATTACCGGCTAATGCACACAGAGCGTGGGAGAGAGGGGCTGCTGAGGCGGCGCTGTCGCATCTGAAAGGTTTGTTGGCGTTAACCAGTGAACTACTTTTTTCTAACAATTGATTACTGATTTTTTCAAATGAATATGGTATTATAGATTCTCGAAGCTAATATATTCATTGTCTTCCAACGCGCAGGCATTCTGATCAAAGTATCAGTCAGCGAAGACAAGAACGAAAAGAAAAAAATTGAATCAAGGATACATAAGGACTTGAAGGACCTGATCGAACGTCACGGTTCGATCTTCGCGTTGCCAGAGATGGGAAGTGGCGGGATTAAGAATTCATTGGAACGATTCTTCGTCGACGAATTGAATTTGACCAAGAAGACGTTGAATCTCATACGAACGGACGTTGATAATCTATCTTTCGAAGATTTCAAGGTGAATATCGTTATTATATATTTTCTTTGATAAGGTTAAAGGGATTTCGATAAATTTACAGACACCAAAACGTTGGCTGGAAGAATGGAAATACGGCCCCAAGGAGGTCCTGCCTTTCGTGAAAGGATTATTGTCCAGATACCAGACGTTGGAGACAATGTTGTCGATTTCGTCGTCCGTAATTGACATGTCCCGATTGGCCAGGCCACGGGCGTTCCTTACTGTCCTGAAGCAACACACGGCTCGGCGAACACGTCAACCCCTGGAAAATCTTCGACTTCACGTGAACTGGGTGGAAAATCGGAGAAAAGAGTGGAAGATATCGTTGATCATCGAAGGCCTTCTGATATCAGGTTCTAATTGATTCATGGTATTTAATCAAGATTTTGATTCCAGCGGGTGATACTGGATTTTGTGAATGCAGGTGCGTTAATAGAAGATGGCGCGTTGAAGGACTTGGATGCGAACGCAGCGTCCGTCGCAGCTGCGCCGAATTGTCAAATTGCATTCCTGCCTGAAAATTACACGGATGATAATTTGGGCGAATATTTGGGAAACGCTAGAGAGGACATTCTTAACATTCCGGTCTACGCGAGCTCGCAGAGGGACATGTTGATTTGTTCGCTGCCGATTAAGTGTCCGAAAGAGGACCAAGACAATTGGTTGCGCCGAGGTGTCGCTCTTTATCTGAAATTAACTTAATTCTGATTTTCAACTAAAATATTCTTCACAGCGATGGAGTCATTTTTGGAGGCAGAACTTTTTCATGTAATTTAGTATATGTTAGCATGCACTTTATTTGTGTACGTAGCAATATTAAACACTGTACAGTCTGTACAAAGAATGAAGAGAATAAAGTTTGTCGCATCTGGAGAATATTAAAAAACTTCTTTAATAATTCAGCACAGTGCAAAATGAATTAATCACTTTGAAGAGCACCTGTGTAAATAGTAATCAAGATTTGTCAAATGAAAACACTTACAAAAAATTCTTTTAAATTTTCGTTTTTGTAATATGTCCTGTTGAGCCTGAAAAATGGCGACAGAAGTATCAAAAATGAAAAAATTAAAGGAAAGATTATGCATGCGAAATACTTAAGAACAGAAAGACGGTAATTAAGTAATGCGCGTCTTGGAACCGTGTGCAACTTGTTGCTCCTAATTTGCATCGGTAGCTTAATGCTGCTAACGAGTCTATGCTCGTTATCGTAAAAGGAAGTCCTTTCAATTAACCCGCTTCTCATAGAATTCCCTTCGGGAGCAGAGATTTTTCTTGCTCCTCCTTCTATTATCAGGCAAAAGGTAGAACGTTAAGGGCATTACAAGTCGGCTCCCAAATAATCGTATCATTGATCCGGTTTTCATCGAAGAAGTTCGCCCATAAATCCTTTAGAAGCTTCGACGAACATTAAGGAGTTTGGCAAGTTAAGTCCTCCTCGTTGAAAAACTATCCACGAAGTTTTCGCCGAGTTAACGATTGAGCCGGCGACCTCGTTACTCTTTCGTCCACAGAATCCGCATCCGTTTGGATCAATCGATGCTTCAGTGGATTCATCACCAACTACTTGGAACTGACAATCGAATTCCCCGAAAATCCCCTAATAAAAGTTGATTCAAACACGTTCTTGGACGTTACCTTCGCGTCGTGTTCTCATACGACCAGTTTAACTATGAATAGACCAGAATGAAACTATCGTTCATTAATCGAGCTTCGTGTGCCCCCGAAAGTGCCCGCGAAGACATTAAATTTCATTATAGATGACGGTGTTCCACGGTTCCAAAGTTAGAACGTCGAAACCGGCGAGACTTCCGAAATGTTTCAGCTCGAAATCTTGAAATACCAGCGGAGGTAGAGGGTATAATGAAATTTACGTCCGATACGAAGATGGAAATAGATTGAATGTCCAAAATGAATTTTCTCCTGGCAGGACGGTGCCCAAGAGGGACATCGAACATCGTTGAATTGTTAATGAAACGTCCACTCGACTCACGGAATCTCGAGCGAGCAAACACGAGCGAATCGATCTTCATTATATCCACGACGGTCTCGCGTGGCCGGAAATTCGCATTGTTTCGACGGCTCGCTCGTCTGACGCTCGTTACCCCGACCCACAAAAGAACGAAACGCGCAGGATAATGATTCCCTTCGAGCCTCGAACTCGCAATCCTTTTCTTCTGACCACTTTGTCTTGATAAACGTAGTTCCTGATATTCTTGCCCCACGCAATTACGCGAGAGCCTCGTGTCGGGGAACTTCTAGATCGGCTCCATTGTGATTATTCAAAGCTTTCCTTCCGTCTGGTAACCATGAATTATTCGAGGCTTCATTGTGCCGAGTGGAAGGAAATTTTGAGCAACAGCTGGAAAGGAGAAGAAAGGACACGCGATTTATGCTTCGCGCGTTTCAATCTGGAAGACCTAACGACGATACTGCAATTCCACCGTTCGCCGAGTATGATTCCCGAAAATGTATTCGCCTCGCGATTCCATTACACCTAATTACGATTGGAGTTTGTTGTTTTATTTGGTTGCAACGAGGATCACGTGAGTAGGACAGGTCTACGGTTCCTAGGCGAGGAGACTAGGACAGGTGAAGAAAAGATGCGTTTACCTCAAGAGAAAGACCATCGACTCGAGAATCAGAAATCTTTTTATTACTTATAAAGTAACCGCTTGATACATCCTTCTAATCAGAAGTTACTCGTACAAGTTACATATACTCAGAAAATAGCGAGAAGTGATCGGAGAAGTCATTGCGGTTATATACACGATCGTTCCTGTAACGACGTTGGTTCGAGTCTCTGTCTCTGGCCAAATACTAGCGCCCTACGGAATTGATCGATCTCCGAACGAAATCATCAACGAAAACACCATTCACTTCGACAAAATCCTTTATTCTATGAAATGGAAGCGAAAGTATCCAACAAATCTAAGAATACTAGTGAGCGATACTTTTCGGGAAACCTATACGACTGTTATACGAGCCACTCATTAGCCAAATCGGTTAACTCCAGGAAACAAAAGAAAAAGGTTGTAATAGCATACATTATCATTATTATCGCGATTTTTGCATGGCCAAAGAAAGTCCTGTTATTTCGTAGTACTAAATTCAAGAATGAAAACACTTATTTTAATTAGAAAATGTTGAAAGTCGATCGACCGCGTTAAACTCGAAAAGTGGAATCGACCGATTTGGCCAATGGGTGTTTCATACACAAATCGATCGAACAACGCTTCCGGATGGTCAAACGATGTTTAATCTCCGTTGAAGCGGCTGTGTTTGGCAAAGACAGAACAGAGTGGAGCCAACTTTCCGCGGACAAGAAATACGAATGGAACAGAGCCTCGGCTCGTTACCGAGGGGAAAATCGGTGTATTTGGGTCGACTGAGTGTTCGCGATACGCGGCGCGATCGACAACAGCGGCCCCTTTTGTTCCCCGGTTGGCCGCAGTCAAAACAGACCGCTCGCAGTCTAAATTAGCGGCGTGCAGTCAACTGGCTGAACGAAATCGCCCGACAAATCAATTAAACATTTCACCCGTTTAACGCGATTTAAGACCCGCTCCAATCGAACCAATTGACACTCGGTAACCCAATTTCCTTTGTGCCCCGCGCCACAGAATATCTGATTGGAACGTTTAGCTCTCTGAATTATACCGGTCGCGGTGAAGGAACTTCAAGAGAAAATTGCGAATCATTTGGTCTACCATTATCACAGTAGCTAAAGTTTCTGTATTTAATTCTCCGACACTGTAACTGCCAAATGCATCAAAACGACCCACTCCTGATATCTTCTATTTATAACTGTTGATAAGATCGTTCAAATAGAACTAACTCATAAGCTAATCGAAATCGTAATAGATGCTCTTTTAGAGTTTCTACAAACACGTTTAATTGTGTTCTGTTAAATTCATCTCGAGCGCAACAAATGCAACCACGAATTAGTTCGTAGGAACATTTGCGTGACGATGAGGGGCCAGAAATTATTTCCACATTGCAGAATTCTCGAAACGGTGGCGACTGAAGTGGCGAGAGCGTGGAAACGCGCGGATTTCGCGGGGCCGGGGGCCGTTGTCGTTGACGCCGGACCGGAAACGATGTGGAGCGCGCGAAACACGGATCGATCGTCGCCGTTGCATTCCTTTGTCGACTAGCGGAGGAGGAAAGGAACGGAAAACGCGCTCGCGGGCGGCCGGACAGACGAGAAAACGGTCGGCGACGCGGACCCGGCCCGGAACGCCGTGATTGTCGCCGATTTATTGCTCTAGAACTTAAGATGAAACTCACGGGCCGCGGCCGCGTCCCCCAGAAAGGCAATACTGTGTTTCTTTTCCTCCCTCGGGATTACTACGCGCGATTCTTTCACTTTCACACACTCTGACACACTGTTCGCTCCCATTTCTACTACTACTCTCTCTCACTTTCTCTCTTTCGTCGGTTTATTTGCATTCACGATTTATCCGCCGGAGCCATTCATTCGTCTCGAGCAAAAGTATTGGACACGTGAAGTAATCTTGCCATCGAAAGGAATAAATTGGAATCAGATTTTTAGTATATTTCATATTAAACAATCGCATAATTTCTATTGTTACCGATTTGTTTCTTTACCATTTCATTAAACGGTTCAATGTTTCTTTGAAATAATAATTTAACTTGATCCAGGGATACCAAAAATCATTTACGTAAATTGACAAGAACTTTCGCGCATACCCAATACTCTCCGCTTAGGATGTTCGCTGACCAAGCTCGCGCGAAGCTTTGCCTTTTTTGCTATCGATCGGTGAAGATACAGCCGACTCTTGTGTTGCACAGCATTCCCGCGACATGGACTCGTTCTAACACGCTTAGAAAAGTTGGACGAACGTAATATGGAAAGTCATATGGAATTGCCAGGGGAATGTAAAGGCACGAAAATAAGTTTTAAATAAAATTTTAGCTAATTCTGTTTGCAAGCTGTCATTAATAGTCACAATGGGAGTTTATATGATTCTATCTCGAATATCGAGTCCCGCTGTATAATGAAAGCACATTTGACATATTTGACTTTACAGTAATTCGTATTTGAAGCCAGCAAAGCTTCCACGAGCTCGACGATCCGATAGTCAAGTTTTAACTGGCAAGACCAAATTCAATGCACGAGAAGCGTCATCTTCAGTTGCCTTCGAATCATCGAATTTCAGAGTTGTAATTTACAATTTTTCACTTTGAATTTTACAGTTACGTTTTTAGTAAAATACGTTATAGTCGCCTTACGATTATAGTTGAATCGCGACAAGGGTTCAAATATTCACAGGAGATTCCAAAAGCTAGCTTCTGGAGATGACGAACGCAACAGATCGAAGGTACCCAACGAAGAAAATGATCTCGCCAGTTGAATTAGCGCTCAAATTAGCATACAGCTGTTTATTATCGTCGGATTCAATGCTCAGTCGAGACGTTTCGAACTTTCCGCATCGTTACTCCTTAACATGACTCGTTGCTCCTCCCTAAACTCGATCACAATGATCCCCTAACGATTAACACTAAAACCGAGTGATAGGCACACGGTTCTAATCGACGACGAAGAGGAAATTCTTTTATTTTTCATCATAACGGAAACGAAAATACGCCGACTGGTAGTCTGTACGGCGACCAGTTCAGCCCGAAGGAAACCTTCGAGTCCTGCGGGAACTTGTTCACCTCCTTGGTTCATCATCCACTTCTCCCTTAATTCGATATAGAGTCGCGAACCGCTGAAGGCATTAGGTCTCTCCTTCTATTCTCCGTTTCTTATTCGCGTAATCGAAAAACTCGATAAATCTAATAATATTTTATATGTCTGGCGTTCACGTATATACAGTAGTGCTCGTATATTACACCGTTGTTTAAAGACAACGAGGAGGATATCACTGGTTGTAACAGGAATCGAGGATGTTCGATCTTCGCGACACAGTGTCTTCGAGGAACTGTCTCCGAACATTCAATTCCAGGATTCCTTGGTTAATATTTAATTTCAAGAAGACAGTAAAAATGGAAGAACACAAAGCTTCTGAATAAATTCATTAATTTATCAATATAGAGAAGGTATCAGTGATCTGAATTACTCTCAACGCTCGAACATACAAGAGAGACTGCGTCGCGAAGCCACGAAAGAGATCGTTCGCCGATCGATGCACCTAAAAAAAGATAGTTGGTATGAAAAGGGAGAACAGGGGGTCGCGTTCATTATTGAATCTCGACGAAGGTTAGAAGCTAAGATTAACTCTAGAAGTTTCAAAAGGGAGTCTCCATTTGGTCGCGTCCTGATCCTTTCGCAAAACTGGGTGGTCCGATAGGGTGTGGAAGAATAGAAAAGATTCGAGAGTCATTCTCGCGCGCCGACGATCCACGACGCGTCTGCGTAGATCCCCGACGAATGTAGCTTTTTAGTAAAAATACACTTATCATACACACGCTCGTGAAAATTCACCATCGACGCTGTCGGCGAGTGTCAATGAAGTGTCCGAGAGCACGTCGACCGTCAATGCTCACAACAGGTCATGCACCGATGAGAGGGATGCACGATTGACTTAGAATTTCCAACGCAGGTGAATCGTGCACGACTCGCGGAGAAATCTGAACTTCCCGTTTTCATCGTAACCGTGAAACCTTGCCGGGATAAATAGAAACGTAACGATCACAGAATAATTTAAAATACATCCTTTTTTAACAGAGTATTCGTCTATCCTAAACCGAAAGAGACTTAACATCGACAGTTCGTTTAGTCAAGGAATGTGTAAATTTTCGCAGACCTAACAGTCTGTCGAACGACTAGCGAATAAACGTTTCGTGAAACAACACTAGCGACGAGATTAACGAAGAGACGACGACGACGACGACGACGACGACGACTCGGAAATGCGTGAAATCCACGCGTTGAAATCTCCGAGCACCGATCGGATCGTAACGGGCGCTAACTTAGCTTTAATCGCGTCGAAGAACGATGAAAACCGCATATAATCGTGAACTCGAGGGTCCAGGAGTCTTTCTAAAGTTATCCGGAGACCATTACACGAAACTCGAGGAAAAGTTGGCTGTTTCTTGGAGCCGAACCAAAGCGAACCGAAAAACTGCGCGTCGGTGAAGCGGATAAGACTGACTTCCGCGAATGATACAACTTGGCGCGGAAACGGCGGAACACTTGGAAAAACCGCACCTTTCTTCATTCATAAGGAAATCGTAAATTTAATGCTTCCATAGATCTGCAATTACATCGAGACAATTTCACGTTTTGTTCGTTTTGATCTTTCGAAGAGGAATAAAGTTTGGACCCTCGAAGAATCGTAAACTTGCAATAACAACAATCATGTTATCATTATCGATTGATATAAAATATGTGTATTTTAAACCGTGAAACACTAACATTTCATTAAGCATGTAAAAAGGGATTGCACGAATACCTTAAATACCTTGAAAGTAACAACCAACGGAGACAAGTGAACGGCTTGATCGATTAGGGGTTGAAAGTAGAATTTCCAAGTGTCGCACTTCCCTTTTGTCGCGCCGAGAGTGTAGAATTCGAAACTGACGCGTCCCGAGTCTTGAACGCTCCTGCTTCTTTATTCTTCTGTCACTAATTGTAAGACCGTCGCGATGTTCATTGCGCGAAGCAATTCACTCCCAACGGGCGTTTTCATTAAATAGGGCTGTTAAATACAATGGGGGATTGTTCGTAGAATGAACGCCGCAAACTTCCAGGAGAATTACGAAGGCATTACGATTAATAGATCTACATATAAAAAATAATCAGAACAACGTATCTTACACTCGAAGGCATTTCTAAATCGTTTCTTCTTCTCTTCTTCTTTGTCTGTCTTCATCATCTTCCTTCTTCTTCTTCCTCCTCTTCTTCTTCGTCCTTTCCGGTATCGTTAGTTGATTACCGGTATTCTACAGATATAACTATTTTATACGTTACAATATTATATGCGCTTAGTTATTCGCCGCTAAACCTCTCTAACGATCCTTAAAAGTATATCAATAATTACAGAGGATGAAGAGACACACGGGGAAGTGAGACGCGCCAATACGTTCGAAACATTTCGATTCACTCGATTCGATTGCTCGGAATTTTCCTTTAATTCTTTAAATATATGTGAAATTGTTATATTCTCTCTATACGATATACATTAATTACACTTTTTGAATACTAGTGAGCCAACTTGGTTGCCTCACATTTTGTAACAAGCTGATGTACCAATAGCGGAAAGAAAATGTGAAAAATCATAATGAAAAGAAGTGTATTTCGTGAGTAGGAAATATTATATTTTAAATACATTCTTTATATTCTTCATGAATATCGCCATTGAAAGTATACGTCTCAGAGACGTCACTGCAGGATGGAAGGTTAATCAAATGTCAAGCAGAAAGAAACAGTTGGTCCTATCAGTAATTCTATGAAACACAAACGTATCACACTTTCGTCAACCACCATCGCGCACCCTCTGATTTCTCGTCGAGAAGGACAATCGCAGAGAACAGCTTCCGATTATATAAAATATTTTCAAAAGGAAGGAACTCTATAATGTAACTTCTTATTTAAAGTACGCACCTAATTAAGAATCGAATCGGGTGATCGATTAAATCGCCTGGGCGCGTGTCTAGCGAGGAGGAACTTACCTCGTCGTATCAGAATAGTTTTCGTGTCCGCAGGACGAATGCTCAGGAAGGATACTATGCGATACTTTTATACAATATAATAATCCGAGAGTAAAATTAGAATAGTCTAGCGTTAACAATATAATAATAGTGACGATAGACCGTCGATTAAGAGCTAATTGGTGTTCGTACGTTGATCCCCTTTTTTATTTTGGTGCCGAGTAAGATAACTCTCTTTCTAAATACCCTTCCGTATTTTCTTTCGCCTCTCCCCTTTCCCTATTTTCCTCCTTTTGTCCTGTTCCCGATCACGGTGTCTCTATCAATCTAACACACTGTCTTTCTCTCGCACACGCAGTCTCTCTCTCTTTCGTGCTCTCTTTTTTTTCTGTCTCTCTCTCTCCCATTGTGTTCTTCGCGCTCTTTCACTCGAACTCCGCGCTCGTTTATCTCGTCCTCATCGATCTCAATTGATTAACGGTTAAATGAGCTGACGTGGCTACGAGATGAACATGGCTGCTTGGGTATCTTGAGTCCGCCGCCTCGGAAATGAAATACGAAGCCGTCGGATCAGCGCGGAGCGTACGGTTCGACAATTAGATTCCGGATGTTGGTGTCTCGAATTTGAAAACGTTCCCCTGTATATCTTGACTCTGTTCGGCTCGAGTTGCGAGCAGATCGGATTCCCTTCCAAACAGCATCGTGTACCGTTTCTCTGTTCAAAGAGGGTTCAAAGATTTGCGGAAACGACCGGGAACAATGGCTTACGTGAAATGTAGTTCTCTGGTGAAAGCTGTTCGCGAGCGTTGAGTTAAAACGAGGACCTGTTAAGAAGCAGATTTCGATAAATTTACTTTCTCATAATCATTCAGTTTTCAACTCCAAGGAGGAACGACTAATTTCTTCTCCCACTACAATCTAAAATCTTAATCTACAATATCAACAACACAGCTTTTGTTTTTATAAAATAGAAGATTCCAGGATTAAATTACACCCGTAGCTTATTCGCCGGATATTTCTCCTTATTCCTAAAAGACAAATGTATATTAACAGAAAGAACGTCTGTAGAGATGTATAAGATTAAACAGAATATAGGAATGATTCAGATCACAAGAGTTTCAGAAAATATCATAAATATTCTTGGGAGTCGGATCGAAACGATCATTTCCCGGAACTTAACCATCGAACCTTAGAGATCCCGTTTTGGCACAATTCCGCTTGAGCTGAGGCTACGTGCAACGAGCGAATCGCTGATCGTTCCTCGTGTCGTTTAAATTGAAAATGATCGCAAGGATTGGCGCGATCGATCACCGCCCCGCGCTGGTCCCGTTGATTCCCGAATCGAACGAGTTCCATGAGTACGCTGAGCTCCAAAGACTTCGTTACTTTCGGGATTTGTCTCTATTATTCGGTGATTTCTCCTCGTCGGTTAATGTATACAGGGAGTTCGAAGAAGACCGCGCAACCGAAGGAACATTAATGTAATCCTACATTCAAAGAGGAAGCGAAAACGTGGAGTATGATATATTTATTTACAATACGATAACCATTTCCGTTTTCTTAGATAATTTATTTCGATAAGACGCAGGTAACGAGAGCGTTCGTTTCACAAGAATAACAAGTACCTTTTAAACATGAAGCCTGTTCATGCAGTAATATTCGCTAAATAGTTCTTCCATTTAAGAATCAATTAAAAAATTTCTCTACACTCCTCGTGTATGTTTCTCCGTTAAATTATGCGTTCCCCGGTCGTTCCTTCTCTTATGGAACACCCTGTATACGCACATATATGCGTCAGTGTACAGTTTCCAAGCTGTGTCGAGAAGCTTGACGTATCCTCGCGGACAGGAAAAAACGGTATCGTAAAGAAACATCCTTATCAGGTAATAAATATATTAGTATTAACGCACGTAGAAAATATATGTATATGTATAATATATGTATATGCGACGCTACACTTATAGAAAAAGATATGTATCCGACGCGACGAGATGTTATTCTAGAACAAGCGGTTGAAATTCATTTGGAAACATCATCGGGGGCGCGGAGGCGTAATAGAAATTACATACTCGGATGTCAGCAGAATCGGATAGAAGTTCAACGAATAATTATTCGAATAGATCGATTATGCCGCTCTATCGCCGATGAATCAAGTGTTCGCTTCGAACAGCTCTTGGAGCCACTTTAACTGTTATCCGAATGAAAATTCGGGAATACCATAACGCACGGATTAGTGGAACGACGTTCTCTCCGGATTAGCGTCGTTTTATTATCCGTGGAACCAATTGCCTTCGAACAGCCGCCAAGATGAATGAATCCCCGTTTTAGTGCTCCTCAGCGATCCCTCGTCTCGTTGCACTAATCCGAACCTTACTACAACGATCGATTCCCATTGCAGAACGAACGCTACACGCGAAATTATCCGTTCCGTGATCCTGATTGACGGAGATTCGATAATAATACTAACGATGATAATTGGAATAAAAGATCAAATTCTTTCCAACTCCCTGAATACCGCGGAACGAATCCTCGTCTCGCGCGGAAACGAACTCGTATCGTCAACGCGCGAAATCAAATTGTATAAATCGGTTATTAAGTAAAATCGACGAAGCCACTCTCTCTCACACACTCTCTCACTTTCTCTATCGCTAGTCACCTAGAAATGGAACGTAGAAAAATATAAAATAAAGCTTATACAAACAAATACGTGAACGTTAATCTTCAACGACTGAAACCCGACTACCTGATCTCTGACCTAATCCTAATGTCTCACTAATTCGGTCAAGCTACGCGTTCGAGAGTGGAACCATTGCGAGCTGCTCTCGAGTGAATTTTTCACGAGTGGATACTGCGCTGAGAGCGCCTATCGGGAGTATCGTTAACGCTATGCCGTCCGGAGGCATATTTCATGGCACCACGTTGGTGCCACGAGAAAATATCGAGTATAGACAAAAGTAATAAAAATACATCTATTGTAATGCAAAATCTTGCATTTATGTACATAGGTCATCGAAATTTCGTGTACATCAGGCGACGGGATCAAGAGGTATTGAAAGTTTCGTTTTATTAATATTCATTAGGATATAGAAACTATTTCTGTCACATGTACGGACAGAGTGTTAAAGTGTTAAAATCACCGTCACTCTCGGTGCAATATCCATTCGCGAGACATACTCTCAAATGCAACTCGCGATAGTTCGACTGTCAAATAGTCACGCATCTTCAGGATCGCCTCCGTCCTCAGCTCGCGGTAATACGACACGATCGAGATCGCGAATGAGCAAAATTCTCTTGTGTGTTCTCTTCCTCTCTTCCGGTCCATCGTTTTCTTCTTCCTCTTCTTCTTGCGAGATCCTTCGAGGATCGAAACGAAGCCGCGTGCCGTTTCGCTTCGCCCTCGAGAAGACAAGTCTCCGCATGACAATCGGTATTTCGCGATTGGTGCGGGTTCCTTCGAGGTTCGTTCAATTTCGGAAAGTATGTACACGCGGCCGTGCGGCTCGAGATTCGAAGATCGTTAATTGTACGCACCTGTACCGGAGAAATTGTCCTGTGGTTTATACATGGATTTGTTGGTAGCTCGATGGAGAAGGTACGTTGCGAACAGCTCGACAGGACAAAGTTTCTGAATGAGCAGCCAGGTAAACAACCCGGTTTAACGTTACACCGGACCGACAATCGATCACGCTGGCTGCGACTTACAATGCATATACACGCGCGGCTGATCGACGGCGAGCGACGATCTAGGAATTCTCCCACGGATCCCGTCGGTGGCACAGAGTTTATCCAGGGTTCGCTCAGGCCCTGCCAATTACGGCCGTAGGTCAGAGGGCGTTCTCCATTTCTTCCGTTGTCAGCTGGAACTGCTCTTGACCTATATCACCGAACAACGTCGATTTAACGATCCGACGGAGGGGTAACAATAGCGGAAGCGGCGCCGATTAAAACGCATACCCGTGACGCGATTTTTCGTTCCGGTTCAACATATCGACGTTTACGATGAGATTTTAGCAGCGGAAACTTCAACACTTTCAACGATTCTCCTTTTCAATATTTCAGTGAAGAGTGAACGCGTCGAGTCCCGCGTTAAGTGATTTTCTATTCGCGCGTGGGCCACCGTAGGCGTTGATGCGTTTATTAAACGTTTGTAAACCGTGCTTTGCAATTTTTATGGTATTTATTAGCTTGAAGAAAACGTAATTTTTTTATAGTCCAAGAGGCGATCGACGCGTCAATTGGTTATGAAACTAATGAACAAATTATTATTGTTGCATGATTATTATGTCATACTGTAATAGGAATGTCAATTGTTATATCGCGTAATTGATTTAAAAAAGGACTGATTTCATTGGATATTACTCCACTAGCGAATGTACTCTGCCGGTTGAAAATGTTCGATCGCTTGTTCCACAAACAATGAACTTGCCTCTTTCAATGGAAAAACTGTGAATGGATGCTTCAGCTTTTATATAGTCGAAATTAACGCTTGCAGCTGAACGGACATGGGAGATCAATAATAATCAAATAATAAATTGTATTCCTCTTAGATTTTGATTTATGTACTAACCAGTGGGAATTGACCGCGCCAATATTATTCAACGGTACTGTATATTCACGCCCATTAAGTGCCGCGACCCTTATTTATGGGCCAATTACTTTTTACTCGTCTGCCCATTAATATATTCACTCGGCCACTTGTACATTTATCGCTGAAGGAGAAAAAAAAGGTAAAACAAAACAATCAATTCCAGCCTCGCATGTGAACCAGAATAAACTAGAATCTTCGTTTATGTCGGCCTGAAAGGCGCGTTGCATTATCTTTATGAAATTCGCGGTGAAGAAATGAAAAGGATCCAGTCAAGTTTTTCTTTCATTACACAGCGCAAGTAACAAGGAGAATTTCATATTTTTATTCCACTTTCGCGAATGAATTTGAAAATGTTAACAGTCTGACGACGCCGCGTTGTGAAAATATAGAGGTACAGCTGAAGCACCAGGATGCTGTGTGCTCGATGCTTCATTGCAAGATGACCTCGCGCGCAAAGTTCGCCATACTGAACCGAGTTAGCATTTTTTCTTTAATATCACCGGCGCAGAGAAAAAGACTAAAACACTTACTGTATAAATATGCTGCGAGGTCACGGTCCTCTGCTTGCAGAGCAAGATCACGGGGCGTGTTGCTGTGTCGATCCTTGACGGTTAAAGTAGCGCCGCCCGCCACTAACATGCAGCAAATGGAACGACGCTTATATTGAGCCGCTTTGTGCAGAGCGGTCTGACCTCTGGAATTAGAAAATACAAAGAAGGAATCTTTTTTTTATTTGATTCTTGTTTACGTGCCGGGAATAGTGCGCCCTTTGATCCACATCATACTTCCTCGCAGATAAGCTTTAAAATATGAAGCCCGAGCGTAACGAACGTGTCTACGTGTAAGAGGACTTTTTGAAGAAATTTTTTATTGAAATATGAAACTTCGTTTCTATCATCAAAGTATGTTATATTCATGACGGTGTCTGAATGAAAATGATGCTTGAAAGTGTACTCAGTCGTTACATTAGGTAACAGAATATTTAGTATCGTAATGCTTACTTGTCGTTGTCAACCATGTTCAAAATGCTCGCCGGTGCGCAAGCAATCAGATACCTAATAATATCCTTGTGGCCATATCTCGCAGCCAAATGAAGAGCAGTCTGTCCAGAGGAGTCAATGGATAGTAGAGAGTACCCTTTCTCGTGGTGTTCCTTCAGAGCCGTGAAATCACCAATTTTCGCTGCTTTGAGTATACCGTCGCTGGTCTTCTCGAGCAATCCTGTGCTGAAGCTGTGGACCTCGGAACTTAGACCGAATAGCCTATCTCGTGGACTGCAACATGGGAATTCCGTGTGTTCTCATATCATTGTCCAAACAGCAGACTCGTAGTCTGTCCAAGGAAACGAGGTAGACATAATCAAAGCATTCAAGAGCTAAGCGCAGCGACTGCGACTGAGAGAACTATGTATTCTATCATGTAAACCTTTTAGGTCCTAATTTAGCATCACGCATTTGCGTTTAGGTTTGCTACCTCGCCTCGTTGGATAGATCACGAGGATATTTAACTGGGTTTATAGACATTTAGTATATAGTGTATTCTATTGTTCCTAGAAAAAATGTTGTTCGTTTATTTAGATCTTAGAAACTAGAGGTTTAGAAGTAGAAAATTAGAATACATATTCCTGTAATTACATCAATCAAAATCGACGTAAACATTTACCATGTAATGTTTATAAAATTTAATGTGCATCTAGGTGACGCGATCTGGGCTGATTAAGTCAACTTAAAGGCACCCGTGGAGGGATAGAAAAGCATTGGTACCTAATGAAAGTGAGTGGTGCCTGGTGTTGCGACTGAGCTACAGCCGTCGCAGAGATCGATTTCGAGGAACTGCTTTGCCTCACGGTGTCACCAGTTGGTTTTTCCTCTTTCTTCGTGTTTTTCGGTTCTTTGGGAGCTGTCGTGCTCATCGATCCCTGAGATTCTTTTTCGGAATGTTGAACTTCGGGCTGCGGCTTCGTTACATCCGGCTTTTTAGGCGGCTCGCTCTCCGGCGCCGGAGACGGCTGCGGCATCGGTTCATCGAGCACTTTTTGTTTTTCAATGGGCGGCTCTTCTGTCATGGCTGCGTTTGTGTTTGGTCGTTCTTCGCTATATTACACGTTCTTTCTATTAATCTAATGATACGATTCCATTACCATTACGTTATCATGGAGACACAGATGAATGTGTGAAGTGAAGGGAGTACTAGGTCTAGTTAGTAATATTTATATCAACTACACGCGAAATTATCTGATACTCGGATGACATTACAGTTTTTAGCTGATCGAATGTATTCCATTACTGAAGCTTGATCGACCGGTGTCTGGTTGAATTGAATAAATACGGATTTGCATTGAATTCAAATGGCATTTATATTCGATGTAATACAAATGGAAATTATTCGGTACGCGGGAATTGTACGGAAATACTGTTTATGAATATTTATCCTTCGCAGTACGTTTACTCCCGCGATGAATGTACAATTTCTCTTCTAACTGTACCGTTATTAGCAGCGAAGTAATCCTTTTGATCCTAATCTGGCGAAACATCAGATGGTTGATAAATTATGGTAGGTTGTACACGAGCACGAAACGCATATTTAAATACTGGGTCAAAGTGTAATACTAAGGGCGACTACGATGAAACTACGTGTGGGTTAAACGAGAAACGAAGTTTCGTGTACGAGGTGGAAAGTACCTGGGCGAGGGACGAGCTGTTTCGGGCTCTTGGCTCGCGGAGACCTTCGATTCGGGTTCACCCGATGATTGATTGGTTGCATTCTCCTCGAGGACGTACACCGCTTCCACAGCCACGTCGGTGACGTAATGCAGCTGCTCTTGAGCCCGGTCGATCCTGAAGAATCGCTCCGCGGTGCACGCTGCAAAAAGATTCCTGGTTCCAGCCGGGAAAACATTTTTCTAACGGTCACCATCTATCATCTGATTATTTCGAGAGTAATGCTTGTTCTCCTTACAACGAATTTTCACACGTAAATATAAGAAATCTAATAATAATATAATATATATTAATACTTAATGCACAAATGTATATAATAATTGATGTGATATAAAATACGATAATAACATAACACTAAAATATAATATGACAGGCGGTGAAATAAAATCGAAGGCTACAGGGATTGAACTCCGGATCGATGGTGCCCGAGATTTATTTAAAATTTCGTTGGAATATTTGATTTATGTTTCTGGATCCCATTCGTAGTCGGTATAAATTCATAAAGTCGACAAACCAGTGATGCGAGAATCCCGGATAAAAGTGTTCTAGCAGTACTCACAGTCGAGGAAGCAACAAGTGTCCATGTTATGATCCTTCGCCAGGATCTTCCTTAAGGATTCCAGATCAGTGGTGGCATCTAGATCCAGCGGGTCCTCGATCCACGTCGCAGCCGACTTCTTCAGCATTTCCTTGTCGTGGTGGTACCTCTCGTAGTCCGACATCTTGATCTTCATCACAGGTAATTTCAATCTTTCCAGCTTGACGTCCTGCTGCGGCCTGCCGGCAGTCCTTCGTTTCGCCAACATCGTGGCTTTATTCAACAGCTTCATGGTTATGATTGATGGCAGCAGGCGACAGGCTTCGCCGTCGACCTGGAACGATTGTCGTAATCTTTCATTCTTAATGGATTCGCCCTGACAAATAACTGTTAATACGCGAATGTCGCGGCGTGTAACTCGGTGGAACGTCGCGAAGGATCATCTCCAGTTTTTCGACTTCTCGCATTAATCAATCTCTAGCCTCGCAATCTCCCGTCAGCCTCGAATTTCTCGAATCAAACTTAACAATTATAAATGCCGCTCGATTCTTTTCTGTTCCCATTGAATATCAATTTTTCTCTATCAACTGTTGATATAGTATAAACGCAGATATAAAGCAAGAACGGAACTTATTATTTTCCATAATATATTACCAACGATAAAATAATTCTAACAAGCGCAATCACGAGAGAAGTAGTAGGTCAAGGGGTTGGAAGTATTTAACTAGCTTTTCCACATGGTCGCGTTTAGTCATTATACGAACCTGAACTCGTTTCAGAAGAAAATATCTCAATTACTTCACTGTTCCTATCCCGTGACAAGTATTCCAAGGCTATTACGGAACAGAATACCAAATAAGGGGAATAGTCACTGACCTGCATTGGAATGGTCTTGGTAGTAACAAGCTTGGCCGTGCTGCATTGAGCGATACAGGTGCCGTGGCCGCCAGCCTGAAGAAGCGGAAGCTGATAGGTCGTCAAGCCGACCACCTCGATCATGCCATCCTCCGTGGACGGCTCCTTGGTTCCGCTAGCCGCTCCCCAAGGATGCGTCCCGCCGCCGTACGAGGCAATATTCAGGAACACAATGGCGTGCACCCTATGCTCCTTCAATTTTGGCGTCATGTCTTGCCCGTCGCAGTCCAGCGTCACGTACTCCGAAAGGTCCTTCCATTTACGCAGAACGAGATCCTTGCCACCCATTTGACCGTAATACATCTTGTTCCGTATCCGTGAATTAAACCTCTCCGGGTGTGCCTCTGTAATTATTCAAATTCCCATTTCCTCGTAGAAGACGTCTGACAGCGCGCGGATGCGACTCACTGGCACGCCAGCGAAAATTTCATCCGGTAATTAATTCAAAGGTTCATCGCAGCGCCGCTCCCTTTCACTTTCCACCTGGAACTTCCTTATTTTTCATCTTTCCGTGAAATTGAATTTTTAATTTCAAGAACCGTGTCACCCGTACACGAGGTAATGAAAACGTTGAATATTCCATTATTGCGGAGTGGGGACTTTCACGCAAACGTACACTTTACTGATCAATTTCTCCTCCACGTCTACCGGAAGAATGATATTTTCTCTGTTCCCCGTGTAAAATACCGTACGAAATTCTATCCATGCCGGGGGAGTTGGCACAGGGTCAACAGGGGTCCTTCGCTGTGCGTTTTGTTTATGGTATTGATTAATTACCCGCGCAATTCTATCTGCGAATCGATTACTGCCGAAAATGCATGCGAGTTCTGACCAATCAGACCCGCATTCCTTCCGAGCAGCAAACCCTTCGTCGACAGAAATCGAGTTACTCTTTAATACTAGAACTACCAAGCACTTAAATTGTCTTTTCCCAATTTCTTCATAAAACGCATAATTCTCTATTCATTAAGATTTCAATTGGCTTATATTTCAGTGTAGGTATTACTGAATCAGCTTCTTTAACGATTTTTTAGAGAAGCATTTATACGTTTCCAGTAATAATAGAAGAAGAAATCAAGAATGATTCTGACCCATCCGGTAGTTCTAGTGTTGAACACCATCTCGACGTGTATGCATTATTTACGGTTCATTCGAAGGAGCTCGCGAGCGCACCAGGAACTATCAAGAGAATAGAGGGTAATGCGTGCATCCGGCGATTGACACTAACCTCGGGCCTCGTGAAACTCGAGGGCGATGTGAGCATCCACGCCGAGCGAGTAGTAATTATTAACCACGTTCAGAGGCAGGTTCTCCTTGCCCTTGCCGTTGTCGTCGTCGCCCTGGGCGTCCGGATTCCGTTCGACCACCAACTGCCATCTGTCCAACAGGGTCGTGTCGCTCTCACCGATGTTCGTTAGGATTTTGCCGATCGGCTCGTCCGTGTAGCCACCGCCCCATCCTAATGCTCGAGCCAGATCGTTCCCGGTGCCGAGAGGCAGGACTCCGACCGCCGGCGGCGGAGAACAACCGATCTGATCCAGGACGGACAGCACCCAACCAACCGTGCCGTCACCACCGCACGCGAGAACTCGTAGATTAGGAACTTTTTTGAACAACTCGAGCCTGGAGCATTGAAAAATTATCGTGGATGATTATTTTCTTTAGTACGTAAAAATGAGGATGAGAGAACGAGATCGTTCTTCCTTTCGGAGGATTGTCACGCGATCGGTGGGCAATGATAAATAGAAGATGATGATAATAATAAGTAGGAGAAATAAGTACCTAGAAGGATCATTCTCGATTTTGGAGAATTGCCATGTAACGAATGAGTAATGATGATAGGTAGGGTTTAGACTAGTTAGGATTCAAGGCTGTAAGGCGACTTCCATTAGTCGTACGTCGACGGGATAACATTCGTGAATGGTTGTCTACGCGGTCATAAATGCAACCGACCTGAACTCCCGAATGAACTTCTCGAGAAAGTTCCGATAATGCCCATAGCGACAAGCGTTCACCCTTATTCACCTACTTCCTGGCCACGAGCCAGCCCGTGGAACTTTAATTAAACCTCTTGTTCATTTATCATATTTTCCAATATCCCGGCCCCGCCATTCGCCTAATCCATTCAGCCAATTCATTTTCAACTCAATTTCCATTCAATTAACCTAATTCTCGGCTGAAACTCGAACCGCTAAATTTAAAAGCGTCGCTCGGAATTCCTTCGCGTACTCTTTTATTATCGCTGCGTCCACTCGGCCGAAAGGAAAAGAATATAGCACGACATTCGTTTGAGAAACTGTCGATTATTACTCCACAGGTTTTTCGACATTCGTATCCTACTCGCACGGCGGAGTATTCATCCTACTAAATCCGAGTTTCATATCCGAATTTCATATAATATCAAAGTACTTGATTGAATTGCGTTATCATTGTCGCGCGGTTATTTTCCTAAACGTCATCGCTATAGGTTATATTATTTCTAATATGGAACAGTTTTGGACTAATCATCCTTTAATTGAGTGAATTATAGTAACTCGATTTGGTTCTCGGTCACCGATGACCCCCACGGCATTCAACGTGTTAATCATCTAACCGAATCGCAACAGGAGGATCTCTCCGAAACGAGAGACACCGTGAAATCCGTCGAAATTCCGTTTCGCGTTTGAATTGATATTTAGGAACGTATATTCTAGTTGAACTCACCCCATCCTGGGCCCGCCCTGCGTCAGATCAAAGACCTGCCGAGGGTTCAGGAGCCACTGGAACTTTTGCAACAGCTTAGCGCCCTGGTTCCCGCCGGATTTTGGGTTAATGAAGACCAGGACTGGTTTCACGGACGGCGTCGGTATCGGTTTCACCACCCACAACCTCCCCTGATCCTTATCCTGCTCCTTATCCTTGTCCTTCTCCTTGGACTTCTTCCGGCTCTCGCCGGATTTCTTCCTGCGCGGAGACTTCCTCAGGCTGCTCTTGAAGCTGCCCTTCCTAGGCAGCTTCACGATCCAAGATGGCGGAACGATGATGGACGAGTGGCCACCCAGCTCGCAGTTCTCGCCGACCTTCTGCGCGCTGAAGCAACCCTCCTTGTTGTGGTAGGCGATCTTGCACCAGCTGCAGCTCACCGCGACAATCTCCTTCGAGGAGAAGCTCAACTTCGACTGGAACGACTTGCCGCAGTTCGAGCATTTCCCTTTCTGGGAACGACGATGGACCCAGTGGTGCTGCGTGTTCGTCTGCTCGCGGTACTGCCGAACGCCCACGTCACGGAAACTCGATTTGCAGGGGAAGTTCAGCCCCACCGCGCACACCGCGTGGGCAACCACTCGACAGGCGGCACACTTCATCCGGGGTCCGTGTTTCTGGAAATGCGTAAACATGGTCCCTTGTTAGCGACGGGGCTCTGCCGGAGAATCAATCGTGACAGAGGAGTTGGCTCGAGAGAGCTTTGTCTATCGATAGGTTTACTCGATGGCTTTGCTCCCCCAGTAATTAGCGTTAAAACATCTTCCGTAGTGTAGTATCTAGAATTCTTAGCGTAGGTTAAAGTATTTTCAAGAAGAGTGAATGTAGGAATGAGTGTGAGTGAAGGACAGGTTGTAAAACGGTCGAGGGAAAGTGGCCTGCACAATTTTCCAGGGGTGTATTCGAGTGTTTGTGATGAGTGCGAGTGAGAAGAATACTTGTGGGGGAGCGAATGATTTTTGGGAGAGAATGCCTGTGAGAGAGTTGCGGGAGCAAAGTCGTGTGTTGGCCTCCGTGGCATTGAGTTGTACCTTTTACGTGTTGTCCGTGTTGTTTCCATATTTTATATTTTGACCATAGCTTTAGCTTTGTTTTATTAAATACATACATTTATTCCTAGCTCTCGATTACTCAAGATCCACCCTTTCATTATTTATACTATAGTAACACTATAGTAGGATACCAAATTATTCGTTAAACTCTTAACATACCGTCCAGTGATATCACATTGGTACTACGCGAGAATTTTCGAACAAATGTCGACGACACCGCGTTGGTGTCACGTGCAAAGCTATAGCACAAACGCTGTCGCTTGTGCTCTGTACAAGGCAACAATTAGCGACAGGCTGCAGTACGATTGTATTAGTAAACTGTGTTTTTAATTTTTCAATTTTACAGGAGACGAAAGGATGTACCTATTGGTGCCAAATACAAGAATCCTGAGTGCATATGCGAACGGCATAGTGTTAGATACTAGAGAAGAGAAAAGCTACGTATCGATCCTTTTCTGTTTAAACAATCCATTTTTCTCACTGTAACTTTCGACTCTAGGTGTGAAAACTTGATGCTGCAGTACTAGCGACACTCGTTCTCAAAGAGTTAATAGATGTTGAACACGTTTTCCGTTTGTTTAATCCGGAAACGTTACAACCGTAGCTTTCGTGTCAGTCGAGGACGGCTGTAAGTTCCATTTCAAATTAACGTTCCCACCAACGAGACAAAGAACTTTTCCGACATTCCTGCATACGCTCAGAAAGAACCGCTTCCACGTTACCCGTGTACTCTGAATAAACAATTGCACTTCGCGAGTAACAGACTTGGTAAATGATACAAGTGTTCTCGCTAACGGATAAATTTGGACCCCGTTTGTATCGCGTGCTCCTCGCCCGTCATTTCTGCCTCTAAATTCATCGTACCGATTCATAATTCAAGGGGCCGGAGTTGCCGTGTTGGTAGCAGCGCGATAAAATTGGATGCTGGAACGCTGGAAATTGAATAATCGTGTACCCGTGTAGGAACCGGGCAAGTTACGCGACACAGAATCCCGTATGCGAAATACCGTGTGCATCGAGCGCTGCACGGGGACACGTAATATTCCAAAAAATATTCAAACAATCTCGACCGTAACCATCCGAATCGATCGAGGAAGCGTGCAATGTTCGTTCCCAACGACTGATACACTTTTACGTAAAACAGCGCGAGCACAACCTCCAATGCGCTCTTTCGAAAGTGTATTTGATCCTCTAACACCGTCGAATCGTTTTATAACGAGGTAACGAGCGGCGTAACGCGTTGAAAGAGAGATACGCGAGGAAATAGTCGAACAACCGGAGTGAGGCTGCTAAAAATTCATTAAAAAGCTATCAGAACACCTGGTACACTTTCGTTGGGGATACAGGTGGAAAAGAAATCTGCACAGAGGATAGAGAGATCCCATTAACTGTCGCCAACGAAGAATTCGCGGTCTGCGCAAAATCGGATTAACCGTCCTACGCAAAAAGAAAAAACAGCGGAGTAAAAGAAGAAAAAATGAGACTGCTCTATTTGCGGTCGGTGCAATGTCTGAAAAAAGCATAATATCGCTCGAAACGCAGCGCGAATCGGTCGACGTTCTCTCGTAATTGATTCGATTGGGAAATAACGCCACGTAGCGGAGATCGACTTCCGCGTTACCCACGGAAACGAGGGGAAAAAGCGGGAGCACAATTTTCCGTGCGTTATTTATCGACTCCGAAAAACCCGGTTGTCACGAAGCCGACGCTCCCTCCCGCCCCGCTGTCGACTATTTACAAAACCCGATGGAACAGTCGGCTCCGACGGGAAAGTTCGTTTTACACAACACGCCGATGTCCCGTGTCCAGCGAAAATAAAAACGGCTGAACGGCATCGAGCACATGCCGTTCAAATGCGGGGCGCGTGAAAAACAAAAAGGTAGGAAGGAGAATTAGAAAAAAGAAGAGCATGAAAAACCGATCGCGAACAGCCCCGAAAATCGATGGTTCGCGTGCGAACCTCGCGCTCGCTATTCGGGGAAACGGTTACAAACGAATTTCAAGGGTTCGTCGGTTATCCGTTGGTCTATTGTCTACAGCGACGCGATCGAAACGACAAACGATCAGCGACGTTTGATCCTTTGAGGCCCATGAATTTAGAATTTGAAATTGAACACGCAATTTTATCGATAATTAGACTTTAACAGTAGATTTATAGACATGTATCGTACAGTTTATTCTGTAGTTACTAGGTTCAAAACTAGGCAATTAAGTTATAACTTGTTAATTACATCTGTTAAAATCCTATATAAGTAATATCCTACAGATTGTAGACATTACCTAGCAACAATAAAATATTGATTACCATAGTAAGTACTGCGAAGACAATGTCAACCGGTCTGCGCTTACGGTTCCAAGCCGACAGCAGTGGGCTGCACGAGAAAGGACAATGAAAAGATGGGTTTCCGAGTGAAACCACAGGGTCGGAAAGGGTTAAGCAAACTCGTCGAGCAATGGGCGGCGGTTCTGCAATAAGGTGGAGGAGCGAGGCGAGCGGCGTGCTCTAAAATCGTGACGATTTCAGTGGGAAACGCGGTCGAGTAGAGAGACCGAGGCGCTATCTGGAGGGTCAAGGCTGGTCGACAGACCCTCGTCATGGCCTCTTCCACGTCGTCGTTTCTGTACCTCCTACAGAAAGCTTTTTCCCGTCCGATATTACTCGGCCGGCACGGTTTATATTGGCCTACATGAGTCACCCGAAACGTGACTCGATCGCAGTCGCCAAAGAGAACGATTTGCGAGGAAGGGAAAATAGGTCCAGCTCAGCGCTCGGGGAAAAGCGTTTTCATTAGAGTCGACAATTCTTCTGGTACTTCTGCCCTCTTTCCGCACGAGAATACGGTCTGCGATTCCGAGTGTGTTATTATTAGACACCGGAGGTAGAGGTCTATGTACATTTAAAGTTCCAGAGAGAAGTTCAACCTGTTGTCCCTACCCGGGGAACTGGGTATTATTGGTTTGGCTTATAAATATTGCACTCGGAGTACTATTGTCTCGATAATGGTCTCCATAGTTTCAATATTTTATTAATCTATTCGAGACGTTCATTTCCTATTGTTCTAAACGGTGTTGGTCCTGGATTATTCGTTTCAGGTCTTAGTCTGAAACCAAGACAAGTTTGAATTTTTGCTTCAACTTGATTGGTCTTCTGACTAGGTATGCACAACTGGTACGTAATTGATCTATTTATGGGAAAGAATGTAATGGGACGCGCGGAAATATTGCTAGCCATGTGTGTAGTCTAAAAAAAGAGCTATAGAGGCAAGCTAAGCGAACATGATAAGGTGTTCGGGAAGCCACGAATCCATGGACGTGCTGAGCCGTTCCAGCAACGAGGAAACCTGCGAGCGAAGACCAGTGCTCGTTTAATTTTAATTGGAACTTGGTTCGTCGGCCCGACGAAAAAGGGACCGGCGGAGGGAGCGTCCCTTTGTTCCAGAAATAGCTTAAGCAAGATCGAGCCGCATTCCGGGGATTAAAAAGCCGCACGATGGCCCGTGCATATCGCCAAACGCTCCATTTCGCGCGGAAGGAGAGGGCTGAGTTCGGAACAGGGGGCTGAAAGTTTCGTCGCGAGCCGACCCGAGTCAATTCAACCCGCTAATCATTAAATCAATACTTTTAATTGCGTGCACGCGCGCCGCTCGTGAATCGGGCAACCTTTCAAATTTAATCGCGCGTCTCGCGTTTCGTGACATCGCGCCGCTTCCACGTGTCGACTTTTCATACAGCAGAGATTCTGAAATGCCATCATGTTCGAAATTATCGGGTTCTAGAATAAACGGATCCGGATGTACATATAATTAATATTCCTTTTGTGTTGTTGTGTCGCCAACCACTGAGGTAGTATCGGTGAATTTAAATTGTCTAAAAATAGTTCCATGTTCACAGTGATACAAATTAAAACGCGAGACTCTGCACCTCGTCTAATAAATGAATCTTTCTACTATAGATCTCGCATCGGCAATTATCGCGAAATCAAGTTCTAAACTTCATTTTAACCAGTTCAAGCATAAACGTTGCAAGACAAATGCAGTTAATATATATTCAGATAAAAAAAACTGAAACGAAATTATTCAGTATTATTTTAGATTTCAACGTCACTATACTCGTCGAACATATTGTAGTAAACCGGTTAATATATTTAGAACCATGAAAACGTGGTCAAACTATTTCGGTCTTTCTACATAATCAGCACGACTTGAATCTTCGTTTGCCGATACAGCACGTGTACCAGTGAACTGTAAAGGGTTGAAAGGTAGCGGCGCGGCCGACCCACGTCTCCGTTTCGCTAAATGAGAATTACTTTGCAAATTTACTCGTCGGCGTTAGCGGGGAAAGTGCGTGACACTGCGTCCGTTCGATCAATCATCTTAATAGCCCTCTCGACCGAGAAAATTCCGCTCAGCGGCGGCACCGTCTCGCGCGAGCTTCTTCGTGCCTCCCGATCCCCGCTCGTCAACCCTTACCAGCGAAATATCCGAGGAGGAAGGAAGCGGGAGGGTCACGCAGGGGCGCAATGAGCGGAAAACTTAAATGGAACACCGAACGGATGAACGACTGCC